TAAACATTTTTAGATTCTATTTTGTAATCTTTTAATTATTCAATTTTTTTTTCGCTGTTAAAGAGGACTGAAAATTTTAGTGTTATTCAATTATGTATTTTGTAAATTCTTTGAAATTCATGTGTTATTGGATTAAATATTTGTAGAAAGTGTCTAACTAGTAACTATTAAGGTTTCGTGGGCTTACCAGAGATATCAATTGTGTGTATAACAATTGTAACCTCTTGCCACTTTTAAATATAAATGCATCAAATTTTAGCAAAAAAACAAAAACTATTAAAGTGTTATTCAATTTGTTAATCTTTTAGTTTTATTAAATGTCAGTGTTATTCAATTTAGAGTAGTTAGTATGGTTATGTGAGAGAAATATAATACGATATCATCTAAAAATTGTAAGTAACAAAAAAAATCACGGGATAGAGAGACTTCTACTCGGAATGATGATGATAGAATGCAGGTTTTCTCCTGGCTCATAGAGTTATTAGTCTCTTTTGCAATTCCCGTCTGTCTTTGAATGTTTTAGCAGATCGTTGACTGATACATGAATAAGGTTCTATTTCTGTTTAGGATGTCAACAGATTTAAATTGTTATGGTAAAAGTCTCTCCATAAAATTGGTTTCGATTACAAGAACTACCTAAAGATGACACACAAGTGATACTGAGTTGTTAGAATCATATTGTATAAGATTCACATGATGCATATCTCATACAGTCATACAACCCTTTTTTAGAACGAACTCTTGTAGTAATAAAGCTGAATGTTTTGTAACACAAATGCAAGTCTTGTTTGTAGCTTAAAAGTAGTTCTCGAGTAAAAAGGGAAGTTTTTTTTTTAAGTTTTCTCGTTTAGAGACTTTCAAACCATCTTTGAAATTCCAAATGAAAATCGCCACTCTCACATAGACCAAGTGTTGGGGTCAAATTCTTCCCACCGAAATCAACAATCCTGAAAATGACCAAGTGTTGAGTTAAACGGCGGTCAGTTATCAAGACAATAGTTTGATATTAAACCGGCGAGCCAATGTTTGACCGACTGTCTGCTGGGCCTTATCAAAGTAAGTCAGATGGAGCATGCCCAAGAGCTAGCCGACTTAGAGCTTTGCGCGAATAAAGGAAAATCTCTAAGAAACTTTCCGCGGAAAGAGGGAGATCTCTAAGGAAAAAAAAGTTTTCCTTATCGTTTTGGGCTTAGCCCTAGCCGACTTAGACTAGTATATATACACATGTACATCTTCCATAGAGGGGATCCGAAAAATTCAATAGCAAACACTTGTACTTTTGCAGCAGCTTTCTGAACAGCTTAATAAAAATCCTCTCTTGAGATCTATACATTTTTTAGTGGTTTTCCGCAGAATTTTTCAAACCCTAAAAAAGTTAGGAAGACAAATCTAAATGTGAGATTCGACTCCCACACCAAGCCAAGTCTTTGATTGATTTGGGCTTGGAAGCTTCCAAGAGCCTAACTCTAAACCTACAAGAAGACAGTAACGGTGAGCTGCAAATTCATTGCAAAATACATGTGAACATAACTATTGTGATCTGCATTATTTTGTGACTTCCTTTCGTCCTAGAGTGGCATAACTATCCGAAAGTGGTGAAATTACCTCTTCATCACTCGTCTCTTCATCGCTCGCCCCTCCATCAACCGCTCCTCTGCCTACGTGTCCCCGTCTCTGCCTAACAGTCTCTTTCTCATTCACGTTGAGTGACAAATGGCATACCACCCATTTTCGGTTATCCTCCGTCTCTGTATACTCTACCATACTACATCCCGATTGATGCTTGTTAATACTCAGCTTTATCGCCCGCTTATACCCGATTATAAGCTGGCCAACTTCGATCTTATAGTTAATCGACCTTTACTCCACGTGCCATGGTTATCCTCCCTTTTCCCACCAAGGTACTTAACATCTGCATTAGGTTGACGGGTAAGGAAGAACCATGCATTGTTCTCCCTAAACCCATAACGCGACATCTGATCTGGAACCGTTATCCATCGAACCAAATCCTTTTCTCTGTTATTTGCCAAGAAACAGCCAAGAATACCATGTTTGTCCATATACGGAAGAAGAAGATCATTGATTATTCGTCTTCATCCGCTTGAAACCTGAGAAACTTAAAACTCTAATTCTAAACAGCGTTGTTCGGTAATCCACCATTCACTAATGCATCATCATTCTCCTGATTCTGAGGCTATATATTCTCCTGATTTTGATCATGCTTATTCTCCAGATTCTGAGGCTGCAGATTCCCCTGATTTTGAGGCTGATGATTCTGATCATGCTGATTCTCCTGATTCTGAAGCTGAAACAATCCAGCCTGATTCACAAATGCAACTTGATCATTCCCCAATCACGGGATTTTGCTTAATGTTTTAACCTTTTTTTTGCAAAAATTCAATGGTTTAAGTTAAATAGTATTCTCAGTTGGAAAACAATTCTCAGTTGGAAGACAACTGAACATCAAGATATTCATGAGTTCAACCTCATTCTCTTTATAAAGCTCAATGAAATAATGAATTGTTGTTATATACCTTTCAACTTTTTTCAACAATCTCAAAATATGAGTTGCCAATAGCTGCAATAGCCTCTTCATTCCTTCAACAATTTCAAAAATGAATTGTACGAAAGTTGTCCATAGGTATGAGTAGATGTGTGAATACCTAACTATATTCTCTAACAAATTATATAAAAATTACCATTAAAGATTTACATTGGTTATACTGGAAATCAAAAACACCCAACCCCTAATGAAATTTTGAAATATAATTTGTTAATAGTAGCACAATTTTGAAATTTATTATGATCAAGAAAATTATTTTTGGAGTATATAATGAAATTCATAGTTTTGTTGTATAGTGAATTCCATAGACGCTTTTTCTCATAAGTTGATAGAAGTTTTTCATGTATTTTCATCCACCTCAGACTTTCATTGTCAGAGCACAAAAGGAGAATGTGCTCTTTGATCATCAGTTGACAAACACAATTTACAAAGACGAAAATATGAAGAATTCTCATTATAGTGAATTCCATATACGCTTTTTCTCATAGGTTGGTAGAAGTCTTTCATGCATTTTCATCCATCTCATACTTTCAATGTCAGAGCACAAAAGGAGAATGTGCTCCTTGATCATCAGTTGACAAACACAATTTGCAAAGCCGAAATCCTGAAGAATTCTCATTCTTGAGGAGGATCTGAACCATCCATCTTAAAAGAATCATCAGGGGATGAGATTACAATCTGGTGATTTTGAATCGTAGTTGATAGTGTTGTTGTTGCCCCAAACGAATCCTTACATAATTTCAGAGCCCCATCAAGCTTCTATTTTTCTTCCCTAACAAACACGTGCTGCATATTGTGCGCTTTGAAGAATCATGTAGTTGTTTATGAAAATCAATTATTCGAGCTCAAGTTTCTGTCCAGTTCTCCGTCAAATTTAAAGTTTTTTCTTCGTCGGAGAATTATTATTTTGGTAAAATTTAGACAAGCAAC